TCAGACTGACTTTGAAGGGACATTACAAGTCATCATGAAATCACTCTGTTCGTTTGTGCTCATCTGTTTGCCTCAGATTTAACGTTACCTGTTCTCTCCTTCATGCCTTTGGCTCTATGCCACTTCCCTACAGCAGCACTCTTCCTCACTTCAGTCTCATTTTGTGTGTGAATTCACACTTCAGAACTCCAAGCTCATCTAAAGATGTGCTCCCAGTACACCTGGGGCCATGAGTCAAGTCGGGCTGTTGTTGTTATTTAAAACTTGGTTTGTTCTTTGAAGCAGCAGTTCTTTGAGGTTCAAAGAAAACACCACTGCATCAGTCCAAAATGTGAATATTTTTTCATTCTGAATTCTTTAACTTTAACCGCAACCCCAAATAAAGTTAAAACACCGAATTACCCACTACGTGATCAGAATAAAACATTTTAATAGTCCAAAAGCAGCATGAACAGCCGCTGATGCTCGTCATGTTTCCTGCATTCCTGTGATAGGCAGTGACCACTTCTCATTTCTACACATTTAAGGGGAAAACATTGACTCATGTATTCAAACTTCTTTTGTGTAACCACTCATCTGTTCATTCAGCACTCTGATTAAAGATGCCAAGCTAAGTGCTGCAATTTACCACTTTGTAAAAACATCTGTTGCAATTAATCATTTAATCACATGCACTGTATTTAGCATCTGACACTGAGGAAGTGTAGCATGGTGTGTAGGTCCACCTTCCTCCCACACAGTGCTCAGTGGCTCATTGTGTACCCCCCCCCCCCCTTACTCATCCACTGGTACGGGCACATGGGAAGAAATACTGAGTAACTATGGAAACACACCACAGTGATTCTCCAAGGCAGGCTGCATTTTCCTTTAAAGGCCTTGAGTTAACAGGATTAAAGAGAATTCACAGACGAGACCCCAAAGAGCACGGACTCTCTGAATCTCCCATCTGCTCGCTTTCACTCTGATCTCCTCTGCACTGACTCATCCTCGTGTAGACAGCAGAGGCCTTTATGGCGATGCCACGTCTGTGACGTCAGCCCTCTGTGACCGTATGCTGCTATTCTGACAGGAGTTTTGCTGTAGTGTTGTCCTTTAATCCTCAATTGGTACCTCATGTACCAAGTGTCTGTGTTTAAATCCCTTCTCTGTGACGGCCTTTTTGAAGACAGAGATGAGCACAAGTTTTGGCTTGGACTCAATCTGCTTGTCGGTATACCTTGCCAAAAGAAAGTTTTTGTTTTTTTCCCGCTAGAATAATGTCAGTATTGCACATTGTAGCCAATAGCCAAAGCTGGTGATTCAGAAATAGCACATTCTTAGCTTAAACATTGAAGATGACATGAGGCTCACTGTTAAAACCATCTGGAACAAGACTTTACCCTAGGGCGTGAAGATTTAAACACCCATTGCTGAAGAGAAAAAAAGCAAATCTGATAATGTGTATCTGAAGAGTATGTTCAGCCGGGTTCTGCACAGCGGTGGAACCATTTTTCAGAAAAAGGAGCCGGTGGGCTTTGTTGTTAAGATTCACTTTTATTTGCAGACAATGTCATCCTGACTTCCTCGCAGCTAACTAATAATAGCGGGTATATGGTGGGCTGTGGCTACCATAGCAACAGAGGCAAAAAAAATGACTGAGTGGAGGAGGATATCACACCCATCACTGGAGCAACCAACCAGACTGGAAGACTAGTGCAGACAGTGGGAGGCACTGGGAGAGCAGCTAGTGAATAATTAGTGGGAGCCAGTAGGGCAGCGCCTGATGTGGTTCAGCCAACCGGTTCACTTCATGCTGTGGTGATTTTCTGTGGCAAACTGCAAAAGGCAACACTTTTAACTTGGCTGATAATTTATTGATTTGTATGGCAGCAGGTTTATCAGTCAATGCTACTCTGTGCCCTTTAAAGGGCCACTAAACACCCATTTTACACATGAAGCTTGATTGTCACTGCTGCCTGCTATTCAGGCTGTCAAAAGAAGAAGGAGGAACTAAAGTCTGAGAAAATTGGTAATAAGACTTTTTACCAGAGTCTGTGGTACAAAGGAGGTGCATAGAGTTTAAAAGATGCGGATGTTTACGAGGCTGGAGGGTGTAATGAAAGATGCTATCAGATACTATGTAGGATCCAACATTTGAGGAATTTGACTGCTTCAGTGAGCATTATTTCATTTGTAGGTCTGCAGACTTGATGCAAGTAGCGATACTAAATCACCAGAGTACCCGTTCAAAGTATAAAACCGGCTTTGTTTCATTTTATATAACATTTTCCCATGAAAAGGCCAAAATAAACTGCGCTGTATGTGGGACTGAGTCTGAATAAACTCCAGTGTGTGTTCTTGGTGATGAAGGAACATATCACCCAGTGCAGCGGTGAGACTACCTGACAATAATGGAGCTCTATGGCTCAGAGGAAGAAGTGCTATCAGGCTGTGAGACACACTCAACACACAGAAAATACAGAATATCACCAGACTCATTCTTTGTGGTAGCTTCTTTGTGGTAGCTTCACTTCAGTGTTTTTAGGATTCATGGTCAGCAAAACTCAGCTTTAGCATTAGCTTACATGTGTGTTTAACATCCATTAAAAAATATATGATGTATCCCTTCATCACAGTTTGTTTGACGTCAGTTTAAGGGGCAGATGTGGATGTTTTTCGATTTGAGCTGTGAAGACGTTGTGATGAATGTTTCCCATTTGTTTTACAACAACTTTGTAGTGTTTGTAGCAGTTCTACAGTAAATTCCTTATTTATCATAACATCCCATCAGTGGTGGACAATGATCGCATTATGTCAAATATGTCTGACCCTGTCAAACTGATTTACTCCTCTTGATGTCCACCGCTGCTTGACGTGTGGTAGAAATTAAACTGTTCCGTGCAATGTAACACCCTGAAATCCAAATGCCCTGCTGCTAATAAAAAATATAATGGTAACTGATAATAATTCATCGTAATCATTCATGTGCTGAATTTAGATCACATCTACACACGGCAGTAAAATTTGGCCATGACTAAGTAACATGAACAACAGACATGTACATGTAATTGTAATTGTGCTCATTAAACCCTTTGACATGAGCGCTGGACCTTGGGCTGCCATTGTTGGTTGAACTTGTAGTTACGCTGTATATCACTAGTCAGAACCTCAAAGTGGCCAAATCATCACTAAACAGAAATGTTGCTAAACAATGCATTAATCAGCGTAAAAATTACATAAAATATAGTCTATAATCTGGTGACTGTGACACATCTGGCAGCTCAAATAGCTGAAGACTGTTGCAAAAACATGACTTCTATATGTATTCAGCGAATCTCTCATGAATCGTATATGGAGTACACGTACTTGTACACTTATCAGACCAGTGAATGAGTCCTGTACAAAGGAGGAGATGCATAACAACAAATTGGCATTCCTAGACGGTGGAGTCTGGACTTCCTCCGACTCTCACTATCCACTTAACAATTCAGGATTCTAACCTCGTACCAGCATGCAGAGAAAATGTTAGCAAACACGAGGCTAAACCAAGGGAGCAGAGGTACATCCAGACTAGGCAGTTGTTAAAATAGCAAACTAGGTCCAAAGGAAACGCCAGACCACACAGAAACTGGAGCCCCAACCCAAACAGGACCACGCTCATCCTCGATGTAGCTGGTAACTCTAACATGTACCAGAGGATTTGTGTCATACACGACTTTATGGTATTTTTCAAACCTGGCAACAAACTGATTAGTGGAGAAATGTAGACTGTGTGCAGTGAAATGCAGTTAGGAGACCAACATCTACAAATCCTAGATAGAGAGGATGGATGGTTTGAACCAGCTGTAAAGGAGGGCAGATACTCTCTACATATACTACATATTACTGGAGAAACCATTGTTGAACAGAGGAGAGTGACTCTGCATCCATAGGACACAGAGTCAAAAGGTTTATTTGTCAATGCCTTCCAAAAGCCAATCTAAGTTTCAAAAATAATTCATTATTTCTGATCTGGCAATCCTTTGGCTAGATTTTTTCTAGGTTTAGGAACAAAAACTAAGTTCAGAAAAAGATCATCACTGCTGTCATAAAACGGAAGCGAGCAGCGGTCACAGTTAAAAAGAGTTATGTTGTGAGTATGTTGCCACTTATCATGTAAAAACTAATCTGAGCATTTAAAAGTAACAGGCTAATGATGTTATGTCAACTTACTAATACTGTATATACAAAAGATAGCAGATTTACATATGTGGATCTATTTCTTATAATTGATAATCAGATTTAAATGATGAAGAACAGTCAGGTAATTATACATATTATCTTTCTTAATCATCTCTTTAGATCCACAGAATTATAAAATATAGCTAGTAACTAATTGAATTATCACACTAATGAATGTTAATAACGTGTCTGATAGGTTTGTTTTAACAGATCAGTATATTGATGACTTCCAGCGAACCTTTATTAAGAGTATAGAATGTTTTTTTTCGTTGTTTGATATGAGGACAGAGCCTCCCTGTTTCAGCACACTGCTGGGCGCCTTGTGTTTGCCCTGCAGTGTATAAATAGCCAACTACTTGGTCCTATTATAAATAGCACACCTCCGTGGTCTCATCTGAATAAAAGGCATTATGTAGCACTAATAAGCCATTCATCACTGGGAGGGAAGGAAAGGAAGGGATGGAGTTCTGCAGGAGAGGAATAATCGGGGAAGGGAGGGAGGAGGATGAAGGGAGAGGTTGAAAGGAGAGAGTAGAGTGGTGAGGGATGGAGTGGAGAGGGAGGCGGGCTCTGAGTGAGGGTATGTGTTTTTGTGTGTGAGCATGCGTGTATGCCGTAGAGAAACCTGATGGTCGTCTTCCCTCACTTGAACTCAGACTTCACACGAAGGCAGAGCCTCCGCATCTTTACCTCCATCTCTTCCCTGCCTCTTTGTTTTTACCACCTATAGTGTAGCACACCCCCTCCCCATTAGACCCTCACCATGTTGCTACTCTACAACTGTTTCCTCTCTCTCCTAGAATCGATCTATCGCCGCGGGGCCAGAAGATGGAGGAAACTCTACAGAGTCAACGGACACCTCTTCCAGGCCAAGCGCTTTAACAGGGTGAGTCTTCAAACCTCAATAATAACTGGGGAATACTGCAATTATGGCAAACTTTGTGTGTTTTAAAAATTGAAGATAACTTAACCCTAACTTATTTGCTGTATTCATGATCTTTCCCTAACATTAACCATCCTGTAGTTGCAGATACAACAGAAATGTAAAAATGTTGGCTGGACGTAATCCCTGGTTTTGCTTTGTGCTCCTATATCAGCCTACTTTTCTGTTGATAGGGTTTGTCGTGTGACACTTTTAAATCATAAACACATTTTATGACTTTGTAAGTGCCTGTAGACGCTCTGTGGTTCATCAGATCCTTCAGCACTGTGTTAATTATATTATTTCACTTTACCCGCATTTGCCTGTGCAGAGTACAAGTGGCTGTCTGTGTGGAGTGTACACTACAGTATGTCATAAACATACTGCAGTTAAATTATATATGACAGGTAATCAAGTCACCCCTCCAGCTAAGCTATCTGGATATGGATGCATAATTCATGGTGTCCCAGATATGGCTTGTTTAGCAGTTGTCTCATCTTAACACACACACACACACACACACACACACACACGTACGTACCTGAATGCACTTGTGAGCTTTCATCATTTTCCTGCCAACATGAGCTCAAGCTGCTCATACTGCTTGTCTGAATCAGGACTTAAGTGTTTAAAGTGTTCTTATTCTGTAAGCCACAATGGCCACTCTGGAAGGCAGAAGAAAAAAAGACATAAATGCAATTTCAATCTGGTCTTAAGTACCTAATGTGTTTCCTCTGACGGGGAAGAAAGAAGGTCAGGTTCTCTGCGTTGAAGCCTCTCCTTTTGTGAAGCGTAGTAGCTTTAGCCAGATCATATCCTATTGCTGTGTTTGTTTCTGCTGTTTGTCTAAAGGTCTAACATTTAAATAGCAAATACACAAGTCAGATTGCTTTATTTACCAGAATCCTGCAGCTGCTTTGCTATAAAAATGTATTTTCTAAGACTGCTTTTATATAAACAGCCAGACAAAGAAAATGCAGAGTACAGGTCAGTCAGCATACATGAATCTGAGACATGAAGGGAACAGCAACAAAAGAAAGCTAGCTTCAGACTCATCCGTCCATTTGCTTTTAAATCTGCATCTTGCTGACTCAGCACTTTGCACCAGCATCTACTCCCTGATGTAGTCATTACTACTGATGCACTGTGGAGCCTGGTGTGTTAATAATGTATATAATATAATAATAAATATAATAATAAAAGACATAGGTATACAGTTGTACATTCAGCTGGACATCATAATGACTGGACTGCTGCTCTCTACTTTAGGCTGCTTAGATGTCCAACTCCACTCTACCAGAGACAGATGTTTACATTCTGTGTCCCGCGTGTTGTCGGGTTTAGGCTGCTGAAAAGCTTACAGTTATAGTTCCACTCTTTTTTTCCTTTCTTTGAGTGAGATATGAAGATCAGTCTTATGTCTGCACGAAGCTGGAGTCAGAACGTGGTTAGCTTATCTTAGCGCAGTTTTCTTTAGAACAGTTTATTAGTTTTAACAAAGTGCTTTATAAACACAGTCAATTTACCCAGGTCTGCAGGCTGCCAGATACAGTCAGCTGGTTCTGGTCTCTGTACAGGCATCAAACCTGATGACCTCACTGTGACAACAAGACGCCAGAAAGCTGCATGCAGTCACTGCAACCAACAACTGTTACTCACCAAGAAGTCACTTCTAACACAAATCCACAAACCACCTAAAACTACTAATTGCATTTTTAGATAAACATTTCTGTATGTGTACAGATTAAACAAAGAAGAGCGAGATCAACCATCATGAACAAAGATCCAGCATGTTACTCAGTCAGCTTTAGAGGTGTTGCCAGTTGCCTGGCTAGCTGTTTTCTCTTACTTCCAGTCTTTATGCTAAGCTAGGCTAACCATGTGCTGCCACACACAGATCTGAGATTGACAGTCAACAAGTCATGTCTCTCTCTCGTTTTCACTATTTAAATAAGTACACCTTCTTTCCCTAACCTTAACCGGCTGCTCCGAGTCACCTGAACAGAACCGCAAAAAAGTTAATTGCACTTTAGTTGACAGGCTTCACAGATCATAAGAAAAGTAGTAGTAGTAGTAGATCATTAGTAAGTGTAAATGAGTTGCATATAGATGTAATTTTTCAGATTTCCATGGATTATGTTTTATTATAAATTCACATCTTAGCAGTGTTTGTTTTGTTAACCGGCTGGTTTTCAGACTGGGATTTCTCTGACTCTTGTTGCTATGCCAGCTTTGAGGCTTCTGGTTGGTTCACTATGTTGTCCTCAGCATATGAATAAGCTAAGGAGAAGTAGGTCAGGTTTCTCCTCCCTTCTCTCACTCCATCCCTCTCCTTCCTCTCAGTCTCACCACGTTTGTCTCCATATCTCTCCTCCCTCCTCTCCGTCCCGCCCCTGATGTAGCAGTGGAGAAAGCTGCTTTGTGGATCCCTGCCATTAGACTTAATGGGGTCTCTTTAGGTCATGTCTCCCACGCGATGAATCAGAATTCAGTCGCCCCCCGCCCCAGGCACTCCATTAGGGGGATGACTGACACCAGCCTCTCATTGTACAAGATAATCCAAACAAAAATTCACGCTGGTTCAAGCAAGCTGCTGAGAGGGGATGCGGTCATTCCTCCTACAGACTACAGATGTGTTTTCAGAGTGAGGAAGTGAAGTGATGGACGCTCACATATTTAGCTTTAGATGTTACGTTTTCAGTCTTTTTTCTGTTGAACAACAGCATATTGCAGAACCTCTCCATCTGGAAATTAGGTTTTTAAAAATGTAAGAATTTTACATTAACAAGTTAAGAGCAACGTGCATGCTTGTCCGAGGTATGTTCTCTTGGTGCTTTCTAGTTTAGTCTTCTTGACCCCCTTGTGGTTGATGATGCAGGTGAGTGGGAGAGAGAGTTGTTTCCTGTCAGTGTCTGACAGCAGCTTTTACTTTTCCGTCCTCAGCAGGGAGCAGCATTGTTAACACTGAACAGCAGTACTGTTCAGTGTTACCGGTCTCCTCCACCCAGGGATTCTGGGATTACGTTAGAACTACCAACTCTTACAAAAGTTAGCAGTGTGGAGATGTCCGGCTGGGCGAAGGACGTCACTGAGCAATAGACTGCTGTTTTTCACTTCCTGTGAATACTTGATTTATTTGCCTGCCTCACGTGAAGTTTAAATGTAAAACACAGAACTTCAGAAAATAAATCAGAAAACAGTGTTTGTAATATTCTCATTGTCATTTTCTTTAATGCATTGGGTCATATTGTAACACAACAGACAGATGCCATATGAGCATCATGTTTTACTGTTGATTTGAGGTGAATAATGAAGGCACTGAAGAAGAATGTTGCATTTTGCCAAGGTTTTTGTTCACAATGTTTTGTTGTTAAATCCAGGCTGCCTACTTTACACAATGCCCTAAAGTTTGTGTAGTTTGTGTTTAGTGCTAGTTGGCAAATGTTAGCATGCTAATACGCTGAGTTAAAATGGTGGACATGGTAAATATTACCTGCTAAACATGTTAGCATCCTGACATTAGGAGTGTACAGTACAGGACAGGCAGACAGACATGATAGCATGGCTGGGGACTTGTAGTCTTGTTGTTCATTACAAATCTAACAAGAAACTTCAAAGTATTGATCATGTTGATCATTGATTTGATACTGGGGCATATTTTTGTTGTGTGCTGGAATGCCCTGATTTCAATGCTCAGGTTGCTGCAGATGTGATTTGTTATTTTGCTCAGATGAGGTTTGTCTGTCAGAGGTGAATCAGACAGCACATCATTTCTCAGCATATTAGGCCGGTCCGTTTCCAGGCACCCATATGATCTGCAATGCTGTCTGCTGAGCTGAAGGGAGGACTGTCAATCGATAAAAGCCTTTCTCCTCTACTCATCCCTTTATTCCCAAACTGCAGACGTCTCCTGGACTCTGGACCTCCACAGTCAGCGCTTCCACATGACAAACACAGCTAGAAGACGGCTGCGCTGGTTTCAGTCTGGGGGCTGGTGTACAGTACAGTTTGACAGTTTCCCCAGAAATACAATGACTGAAGTATGTATGTTATCTGACTGATGTTCAGTTTCTGTTATTTCCTTGTGGGATTACATTTAACTGTTTTGCAGCACTGAGAAGTGGGGAGATGTCCAACTAGGTCAAGGACGTCACGGACAGACTTGTGGCTTTGAATTGCTTTGGGAATATATCCTTTCTTATAGGTGGAAACTGTCATGTATTTCCCACAGTGAAGTTTAAATATTCATTAAATTAATGTTTCTTAGAACAATAATTAATGATGGCATACAGTCATGGATTTTGTTCTTGATCCGAGATAATTACTGCATGTATTGGCATGGCAGGAGGATTTTGTCCAGTTGTTATGGTGGTTTGTGGTACAGAAGAATTGCTCCAGGACACTTTTTGTGTAACTGTTGATTTTCTCCTTAAAACTCTACCTGACTGCACTCTGAGTTTGGAAGGCCTCTTGTTAAGTACTGCCTGAAAGTGATGTTGAATTTCTTTATAAATGATCATTACTTCGCTGAATTACGTAACAGTCTGGTCTCCCAGGAACGCCGGTGCTTTCTGGACTCCTCTTTGGGAATCATTGGCTTAACAAAGCTAGAAAACAGTGTTGTCTATAAGTCTGTTGTCTGGATCAATAAGCGCTGAAGTTTCAACACACCGTTCAGTAAAAAGATCTTTGCAGTGATGCAACGATGTACAACTTGGCTGTCTTTAAAGAGCTCATTAAACTTACTTTCTGTGAGAAGCAGAGCATGGATAATTGTATCTGCCGTATAACAGCAACGGACAGATAGGGTCTAGTAGAAGCTTCACTATCATTAATCAGTGCCTAGTATTCACATCTTATCGTAAACATGATGGCCAGAGTAGTTAACAGCAGATGAAAAAGATTGTTGGTTAACTAATTGACAGTTTTTAACTTACATCTCATCAAATTTACAGTATTATTCT